TCTCTAATGACTAAAGATTGCGAGCAATTTCTCATGTGTTTGTTGGCTGCCAGCATATCGTCTTTAGTGAAGTGTCCATGTCTCTTGCCCATTTTTTAATTGGGTTGTTTGTCTTGTGTTGAGGTGTTGAAGTTTTCTATAGATTTTGAAGATAAGTTTTGTCAGATATGTCATAGGCAAATATTTTCTCCTAATCTGTAGGTTCTGTTTTTACCCTTTTGACGAAATCTTTCGACGCACATAATAATTTAATTTTTAAAAGGTCCCAGTCATCTAGCTTCTCTTTTACCTCCTGTACATTCTGGGTTATATTTGATAGTCTATTTATGCCATAAATTCGGGCTCCTAGATTTGCCCCTATTTTATCTTTGATGAATTTTAGAGTTTTGGGTTTTACATTTAAGTCTTTGATCCAACTTGAGTTTGGTTTTGTGTATGGGGTGAGGTATAGGTCTTGTTTCATTTTTCTACAGGTGGATATCCAGTTTTGCCAGCACTATTTGTTAAAGAGGCTGTCTCTTTCCCACTTAATGGGTTTTGGACCTTGGTCAAAGATCAGCTGTCCATAGATGGATGAGTCTATTTCTGGGTTTTCAATTCTGTTCCATTGATCTATCTGTCTAACATTGTTATAGTAATTTGCATCTTCTCTTTCTTTTCTTTTGTTAGATTTGCCAATGGTTTGTCAATTTGGTAATCTTTTCAAAGAACCAGCTTTTTGTTTTGTTGATTTTCTCTATGGTTTTTTTGTTTTCTGTTTCATTTATTTCTGCTCTGATCCTTATTATTTCCTTACTTCTAGTTTCTGTAGGATTCTTTTGTTGTTCTTTTTATAATTGTTGAAGTTTTTTAGTTAGAGTGTTGATTTTATTTCTTTCCTCTTTATTGATGTATGCATTTATTGCTATAAACTGACCTCTGAATACTGCTTTTGTTGTGCCCATAGGTTTTGGTAAGATGTGTCTTCATTCTCATTTGTTTCTAGGAATTTTTTTTTTTATTTCACACTTTATTTCTTCTATTAACCAGTAGTTTTTAAGCAGTGTATCATTCAACTTCCATGTTTGATATTTTTTCCTTGATCTTCCTATTATTGATTTCTAATCTTACAGCATTGTGGTCCGAGAAGATGCTTTGTAGTATTTCAGTGTTTTTGAATTTATTGAGGCCTGTTTTATGTCCTAACATCTGATCTATTCTGGAGAATGATCCATGTACACTGGAGAGGAATGTGAATTGTGCTTTTGTTGGATGGAGTGCTATACATATGTCTATGAGGTCAAGTTGGTTGATTGTGCTGTTGAGTTCTTCTTTGTCTTTATTGAGTTTTTTTCTACTTGATCTGTCTCTCCTTGAAAGTGGTGTGTTAAAGTCTCCTACTACTATTAATATTTGCTTCATGTATTTTGGAGCACTTTCATTGGATGCATAGATATTTATTATTATAATGTCTTCTTGGCCAATTGACCCTTTCAGCATCATATACTGTCCTTCTTTGTCTCATGTTGTTTTTCACCTTAAAGTCTATTTTATCAGCAATGAGTATTGCCACTCCTTCTCTTTTCTGCTTACCATTCGCTTGGTATATTTTTTTTCCCACCCCTCAACTCTTAATTTGTTTTTATCTTTGTGTCTAAGGTGGGTCTCTTGTAGGCAGCATATCGATGGGTCTTCTTATCCAGTCTGCCACTCTCTTTCTCTTGAATGGTGCATTTAGTCCATTTACATTGAGTGTAGTTAGTGATAGGTATGAATTGATTGCTGTCATTCTATTGTGTTTTTTTGTCATGTTGTTGGAGTTTCCTTGGTCCATATACTTTTCTGTGCTGAGTTCATTTTGTTGTCAAGTGTTTCCTCTCTTTTCTTCTTTGTTGTTGGCTTTGTGCTTACTAAACCCCTAAGTTTTCCTTCTTTCTAGGTTTGCTTAGGGGGATTGTTAATTTTCTCTGTGGTTACCTTGCAGTGAATTCTTGTCTCTATATTTTTGGAACAGTCTGTTCTATGAGGACATTGTCCTGTTTTCCTTTCCATTTGGAAGTTTCTACCTAGAACTTTTATTCCCTCTATTTGGTTAGTTGCTGTTGTCATGTGCAGATTGACTTCCTTATTTTTTAATGTACAGTGTTTTATGGTCTTATTTTTAGTGTATTTTTCTGATTTGCTTTTAGTATTGATGTCATATGTCCTGATTTTGTTGTTCTTTGCTGTGGCTTCTCCATTGGAAGGACTTCCTTAAGCATTTCTTGTAGGGTTGGTCTGGTTTTCACAAAATCCCTTAATTTCTATTTGTCTGAGAATGTCTTGATTTCACCCTCATATTTGATGGACAATTTGGCTGAATATAGGATTCTTGGTTGGAAGTTCTTTTCCTTCAGTGTTTTATACATGCCGTCTCATTGCCTTCTTGCCTTCGTGGTTTCTGTTGAGTGATCAGAACTCAGCCTAACTACTTGATTGTTATAAGTAATATTTCTTTTGTCCCAGGCAGCTCGCAAGATTCTTTCTTTGTCTTTGGTTTTGGACAGTTTGATTATGATATGCCTCGGTGTTTTTCTCTTGGGATCTATCCTGTATGGTGTTCTTTGAGCTTCTAGGACAAATATCTTTTCTTCCTTCATGATATGGGAGAAATTTCCCATTAGCAAGTCTTCCACAGTTTTCTCAGTGGGTTTCTTTTCTTTCTTTCTTTCTTTTTTTTTTGCCTCCTCTTGTTCTGGTATTCCAATGAGGCATGAGGCATATGTTGTTTCTTTTCATGTCATGCCATATAACTCTTAGGTTCTCTTCATTTCTCTTAAATCTTTGTTCTGATTTTTCTTCATACAGGCTGGTGTCAAGTGATTTTTCTTCTACTTGGAAAATGAGTTCTTCAGCCAATTCTAGCCTATTCTTTTGTGCTTCCACTGTGTTGTGTAATTCTGTAGTTTTGGTATTCATCTTCTGGATTTCTAAGTGCTGTTTTTGTATGAATTCTGATTGATTATTAATCTTCTTATTTTGTTCTTCAGTGATTTTCCTGAGTTCTTCCAGGGAACTGTCTTGATTCTGTTTGGGGTCCTTGAGCTCTTGTAGTGTTCTATAAACATAACTTCTAAACTCCTTCTTGGATAATTCTATTGCTTCCTCTTCCTCCATGTTTAATGAGACTTTTGTTTGAGATCTTATTTCTATTATTTTATCCTGGTATTTTTTTTATTTGAGGTTGCCTGTTGTTTCCTAGACATTTTGAAGTTGTCTCTGCTAGTTATGTATTGATTGTTTTGTCTTGGTATTATGATGTAATATTTTTGCAAAGATGGAGCTGGTGTGAAGAAGCTGGTGCATTTTATTTTTTTGGTTATTAATACAGATGTGCTGGGTTGCTCTGCAGTTTTCTTTGTGATGATGGAATCTCTTTGTGGAATGTGGATGCAGGTCTCTGTTCGTAGAGAAGGGGGTTTAGGATTGGAGCCAGCAGGTGTTGTGGTGGGCTAATGTGGTTTTTGTATTGGATGAGGCAGGGGAGAGGTGGGGAAAGGAGGAAGAAAGGAGAACAAAAAAGCTCCAAGGTGCTGGTAACCATTCCCAGGGCTTTGAGTAGGCTGCTAATGATGATGTTATACTGTTACTTATAGGCCCACAGCTCAAGTTCAGCAAAGACCCCAATTGTTAGGGGACCACCACTTTCCACCAGATTCAGACAGCCACAGAAACCCCATACTCCAGGCCCCTCCATGCCAAAAAGCTGTCCTGGGATAGCTGCCCTTATCTGCACCACGAGATTGTCCCAGGGTCCACCCACTTGCGGCAAGCTTCCCTCTCTGCTCCCAATTCAGTAGCACCTGGAGCCAGAGGGATCTCTGCTCCCTCCGTGTGGTCCCAAGTTTACCGATAAAAGTGAGTGCTGAAGGGAGATCTGTGAAATGGCCGCAGGTCCTCCAGTGCATTTTCTCCACTGCCCCAGGGAGCCCTCTAATGTCCTGTCTTGCTGGTTGGTCAGTG